AGTTTTTATTTCAGATTACACGTCATACGTCACTGAGGCGTGTTTTTTTTTCTTAATTAGTTTATCAATTTTGTATTAATCAAGTCAATAATACAGTTCTTCAAGTTGATAAAAGGACATTTCTGATTAGCCTAAGGCTCAATGACCGCCTCAGAGGCTCCTATCATATTTTACATATCACAGGATTACATAGCAATAGCTGTAATCAAATGAACTTAAATTTGAACTTTAAAAGGACGAAATAAAGTAAAAGTAATATTTAAAATGGTTCTCTATACATTTTACGGCCATTGAATTTTTATTGTAAAAACACTTTCTAAAAAAATAAATCAGTATTTACATTTAATTACTTCACTACAATTTTAGTTTCATATTATTTTATTGTCGGTTGAGATTTTTTACGATTCTAGGAGTAAACAAGTTATATATATATATATATATATTATAATATATTATATATATATATATATATATATATATATATATATATATAAGATAATCATTACATTAAAAACAAAATGATGTATTTTCAATTCGAATTATATATTTTTTCTAAATAGTTGGTTTAAAATAACCTTAAACTTATGCTTGAGTCATACCCACTCGATTAAAATTAAAATTCTGTCAATCGAAATTCTATTGCAACCGCAAACGTCTTTATGATAGTTATAAATTATAATTATGCTTTGATAATTTAAATATTATGACTTATTGATTTAAGCGCAAAATTTTTCTTATGATAATTGAATACATGCACATACGTAAATGGGGTTTGTGAAATGATTGTCAGTGAAACAACCAATCATTTCACAAAGCCTTAGCGCGATCTTCAGGTACATCAGAGGGAACTTGTTAGAATCTACGCTCAAGAACGTTTTTAATATGTTTAAATGTATTAAATAATATATTTATTATTTCAGTTATATTTAATGTTTTAGTTTATTTTACATTTCATAGCTATTTGTACCTTTACCTTGTTTGTATATATTGATTTTACGCTTTGTTTTGTGAAATTGAATTTCTGTAGCGACCATCTACTTCATTAATCAATAAAGCCGTTCTTGGAGGTAATCTCTCAATGGAAAATGGCTTGAGGCCTTCAATGTACTAATAAAATTAAATTATTAAATGTAATTTAAAAAAATACACAATACATACTATATTAGAATAATTGAAAAAGAAAAACATTTTTTTAACTGTAAAAAATCAAAAATATTTCCTCATTAACCATATATTCAGTAATGAAATATATAAATATAAAAAATAAAACATATTTGACTTTGAATATAAAATTTAACAAAAACAAAACTAACCAAACTTATTTGGAACCAACTCAATATTGGGTGGTAATATTTTATACTAAAGAGGGATACAAAAGTATCCACGAAAAGCCCATATAGGAAGAAATAAAAAGATATATTTTTGAAGAGTGCTAATTTTATAATTATAGTAAAAACATATTTTAAATTACAAGTGTTTTTTAAACTTTAATTAGACCAATAGGCAAAGAAGAAATAAAAACTCATAATTCTGTTATATTTCGTAGATATATTGATAAATTGTAGTCCTAGCATTTCCCAAAAAATTTTCTTAGAAAATATATTTAAAATCAAAGTAAGTAAATCTAAAGCGAACATTACATGACGATGGATAGATACCAAAGTTCATTTGGAAACTACGGTAATGGTTACAATTTCTACGGTTGGAGTGGGTCTCATCTAAAGGCTTCCCAGTCTCCTTTAACTATCTGTAACTTTGAGCACTGTAAATCAGACCATAATATTCAAACTGTTGTATTATTCAACAGTTCTGTTTAAGCCACAAAATTAATAATCTAGTTGGAGTATTCCGACGCCATTATGGAATGGATCAAGCAAACTGGAACAATATAATACCAGTGCTGAAACTTCTCAACGCTAATCCTTTTTTGAGAACGGGTCTACTTTCCAATTATCCTAAACGTGAACAATGGTTGTTCTGTTGGAGAAGATGGGCCTTGTGGAATTGCATAGCCTTTAGAGATAGACGGCCAGAAAAGAATAAAAATATACTTTATTAAAACTAGTTGAAGAAATAAAAGTTAAACAACATTTTAGGTTTGAAAGAAAAAAAAAAAATAATCCATTATTAAGTGAGTCTCGATTCTTGAATAGACGGGTTAAATTCCTGACACCAACGATAGGAAACCGCAGTCATGTTTAAGCCGTCCAACTGAGTATAAAATAACTCAAAAATGCATTTTTTCAATCATTGGTTCCCACTATAATTGTTCGTGTAGCACATTATTGTATTTTCGAAGAAATACAAAATCATTGGTTAGGAATGCATAATCCAATCTACACTATACATGAAGACCTTTGAAGGTAATATTGTTTTATGGATTCTTTCAGGAGTAAAGAATCGACCGGCTTAATGGGCTTAGGAATCTATGTAGAGAATTTAAATATTGAATTGAGTTAGGCAACATTCCACCGTATTTCAATCGGAAGTATTTGCCATATTTTCTGCAGCTACATGTTTGGAAATTATCGACTGTGAAATGGCCAAGCTAGCATTAATATATATTAGGATATCCAGTCAGCATTTCAAGCTCTGAATTCCCCAATTGTTTGTGACCACTACACTAGTACGAGAGATGAACAGGCATTGAAGACATTGGCCTGCACTAAGGGAGTGGAATTGCTCTAGGGTGATTCTCTGGTCACAAGGGAATTAAAAGCAATGAGAAAGCTGGCATCCACGAAAGAAATGGAGCTCGGATCCCTATTATGGAACCAGATAGTTTCATAGTCCTATAGGAATATCAAAGAAACAGCAGCAGAAAGAAGTCCTTGGTTGGATTTGGAAAAAAAAGTTAGGAGTGGAGGGAATGCACTAGACATATACAAGCCATACAGTTAATACAAGACCCTTCCTCCTCTAGACTTTAATTATAAATTAAAAATACATCCAGTAAATGTACACACGGCAATAATACAATCACATGAAAACGCTTGTTAAGAAACTATCCATTGGTAACGCTCTAATAATATATTTACATAAGTAAATCACGGGGCCATCTTTGTTTCAGACGCCTTGGAGGGCTATCAGATATCGAAGAGGAAGCAAGATTTGAAACGAGAGGGTTCGGATGGTTTTGAGGTTTGTTATGGAAGGATATGTATCTGGATTGGGCTAAATCGGAAATATATGGTGCGTTAAGGTCGTTATGAAAGATTTTATTTATGACAAAGTAAGGAGCATTCAGGATTTGGGATTGGATACGAGAAGAATTCGGTGGTTTAGTGAAGCACCACAGCTCAATTCCGTAAGTCCAGATTGGCCTTGTATATGAGTCTATTTTAATATATAGTTTAGAGCGTTTGTCTAGTCTCTAGAACTAAGGTTGTTAGGCCTAAATCAAAAGGAAATCCGGTTAATTATTGAGATGATAACAGGCAACTGCAGACTAAGAAGACATCTAAGGATCTTCGCAATAGTTGACGAAGAACTCTCCCATCTATAGAGACAAATTGCCCTTTATTATATAACATAGTGTGACCGATTCGCGTCGTGTAGATACAGCTTCTGGATTCAGATAGAATACTAGAACAGAAAGCTTCCTCCATAAAATAGTCATCCCTTTTGAACATTATCAGAAGAACGAAAAGGTTTAAAACCGAGGTAGAGGCGATGTAAACAATCATTGGTATTATTATATATTATTTGATGTTGAAAAAAACGATAGACCCACTTGCCGGACTGAATCCCCTCACCTGTACCAGTACCAGTAGTCAATTGTCATAATTTATATTAATTGTCATGAGTTTGCATTTATAATTTATATAATATTTTTAAGGTTTATATAATTTTTTAAAATAATTAATTTCCACTGAATGTATGATGGTAGGTAAAAGTTATGCGGGGCATTGCACCAGATTTATTTTATGTTTGAATGATTTTTGTGATTTTAATTGAAATTATACATTATTATTAATTTACTTTGATATTAATCAAGAATGTTCAAAGTAATGTATTTGACATTGTAAATTTTGATTGCCATAGAAATACGAGCCTAAAACGTCGTTTGATGTACTAAATAATAGATTCAAAGTTTAAAAATTCTTTATTTAAACAACATTAAAAAAGACAACAAAAAAAATTGAAATATTTAAAATTATAAACGAAGTATAGAGAAAAATATAGGCTAGGATAGGGCTAAATAGGGTTATCATGACGTAGTTGTTTGAGGAAGATGAATATTTTCCTAACCCTCGCCCTCAGCCTGATGCATAGTCAACAATCCTTATTCAAATATAACACCCTCTAGATAAGTAAAATACTAGCTTTTCATCTTTTCCTCGTATTTTATCATCTATAATTGTTGATATGAACTTAAATTTGAACTTTAAAAGGACGAAATAAATTAAAAGTAAAATGTAAAATGGTTCTCTATACATTTTACGGCCATTGAATTTTTATTGTAAAAACACTATCTAAAAAAATAAGTATTTACATTCACTTACTTGGTTCCCTACATTATTATCACTACGATTATAGTTTCATATTATTTTATTGTCGGTTTAGATTTTTTTCAATTCTACGGAGTAAACAAGTTATACATATATATAATATCATGAGTCATGCTCGCATGATTCAAATTTTGTCATTCGAAATTTTATTGCAACCTCAAACATACTTATGATAATTATGAATTATAATTATAATTTTTTATTTATTCCATGATAATTTAAATATTATGACTTATTGATTTAAGTGAAAATTTCCTTATGACAATTGAATACATGTACATAAAATAATTTCACCAATAAAGTACAAACTTTTTAATAATTAATTTAAAAATATAAAGTATAAAATAAAAAAGTATTTAAAAATTATATCCTCATTAAAATTAAGAAATAAGTGATATTAAATATTAGCTGAATAATATATAGAAAACATATCGTTCAAAGTACTCAAGTAATCAAAGTGAGTTCCTAAAGGACGACCTTGCAGATCCTCTAAAACGTAAAGTAAATTGCCTTGTTTGCTTCGTATCTTGCATTTTCATACAAAGGTGCAAATTTATTAGAAACATTTTTTGAAGCATCACAAAGCACCTGGGTCCTCTTCCATACAAAATCTCCTGCGTTTAGGTCTACATTTCTTCCCCGAAGGTTGTAATTCTGACTACTCTTTTCGTACGCTTTACGTAGTCGTTCTACCACTTCTTCATACAGAGCTGACATCCTATCAAATTTCTGAGCGTAAACCTTTCGATCTCCCATTTCAGGCACGTTATCTGAAACCATCACCTGTTCATTCTCTTCGCCTGAAGGAGGTAATTCTCGGCCGAAATTTAAGTAGGCAGGAGAGTAGCCTGTACCTTCATGGACTGCAATCTGCATTACAAAAGCTAACTTTGGAAACTCTTTGTCCCAATGCTTGTGAGTTTCCTTCACATAGGAAGCTAGGAGTGTCTTTATCACACGATTCGGACGCTCCATTGGGTTAGCTTGTGGGTGATAGACTGGAGTATACCACAATTTGACAGAGTATTCCTTTGCCTTTCGTTTAAACATATCACTTCTGAATTGAGGACCATTGTCAAATATTATGATTTGAGGACCCCGACCTCCTTTTCCAATGTTCTGGCCACCACTTGAGCTGTTGAGGATAACACTGGCACAATAATACTATATTTTGTAAAGCAGTCAGTAAAAGCTATAATAAATCTCTTCCGGCTGGAAGACATTGGAAACGGTCCCAGTAAATCTGCCGAAACCATCTGCCAAGGCTGGGTTACCACTCGCTTTTTCCCCATAAAACCTCTAGGTTTCATCTGTAATGGTTTACTCGCCAAACAAACTTCGCATTTCCGAACATATTTAGATACATCAGTGTTCATCCCAGGAGAATAGTAATATTCCTTAACCCGTTGTAAGGTTTTGAAGCGACCGAAATGCCCTGAAATTTCTTTATCATGACATTCCCAGATCGCTTCCTGACGTCTTTCTTTTGGAACAACTAACTTCCACTCATTGCTGTCCCCTACTGTTTTGCTGTTATTACTCACTCGTTTCCATAATCCTTCATTTTCAACACTCCAATCCGCGTACTTCGCTGAATCATCTTCTACTCGTTGCAACATTTTCTTGTACCATGTGTCTACTATTTCACCTCCAATATCAATTCTAGCAATAGGATATTCATACGTACGGGACAAAGTATCGGCTGCAGCGTTTTGTTTGTTCGGATGTTTGAGAACTTTCCACTTTTTTCCTTCGAAAACTTCCTTTACTTTCGACAACTATTCCTCCCATTCAGCTTTGGTTGTGGACTTAGGGGTACGTCCAGGATCCCAAGTGGTTAGACCTGGCCCCCTCGATCGTTTCCCTGCTTGTTTATTTTTACAACGTTCTCACGATTTCCTCGCACCTCTCCACCCACAACCCTCGCAAAATTTTGTTTTCTTCGACGGACATGTTTTGAAAGAATGATTACTTCCTCCGGAGTTCCAACATTGAAAAGAATAATTGGGTTTAGCAACCTCTTCCCTGCTTTCCTTTATTATTTCTATTGCGTCGACGTGATTGATTCCTTTATTCTGATGCGGCTGATAGGCCAAATCGGGTTCAAGTAATCCTTTACTCGGAGGAGGAGGTCGATACATGCTTACCCTCCACCTAACCTCTTTTAACTGTCTCCCGAGAGTTATCAAAGTCTTCAAAGTGGTTATTTGGTGTAGCGCAAGTCGTTCCAAATAGTAGGGATCAATATTCTTTTTGATTATCCTCAACATTTCATCTTCCGAAGAGACAGTTGGTAATCTGTTAAAATAATTCCTCATTACTGCCACGTATGAATCAATCGATTCTGTAGGCCCTTGGGTTCTTCTCCTTATTTCTTCCCATAATCTATCCTCATAGTCCAACGGTGTATATTCTGCTTTCGACTCTGAGACAAGTTCAGACCACGTTTTAACTTCTCTCCTAATTGATCGAAACCAAATTAGTGCTGGATCCTTAAAAAATCGTACGACGCAACAAAAAGATCTTCTTCCGTGGTATTCCTAGCTAGTCTTAAATCTTCAATCGTTTCAAGAAAAGCGTGCACACTTAAACCCTCTCCATCCCCCGTGAAGGTAATTCCCCAATCTCTTATGGAAATTTGAGTCTTTTGTATCACAGTAGCCCCATCTACTTTTATCCTCATGAACGGCTTTTGTAAGTCTTTGAGTATTTTGGGCTGATTCATCATTTATCCCTTTTGCAATATTCCGTTGTATGACATCAAGATTCTGTACTTCAACATTCGTGTTCTGTTCTTCTAATTTCTTTTCAAATTCTTCAAAGTGATCTAGACACTTTGAAACAGCCTCCGATTTTTTTCCTATTTCAAAAGCATCTGTGGATGTGATTCTGTTCAGTCTATTAATTAGATGTTGCAATCTGGTGTCGATCTTATCAATTTCGTCAGCGGGACTAGTGGGTGATATCGAAAATATTTTGTTCTCGATTATTGTAAGTTTTTCCTATCAAACCAGTAATTCAGAAGCGGCAGGAAGCTCTACGGTAGGGAGGACATATTTTCCCGTAGTCTCCAATTTCAAAATAGTTCGTAATTTTTTCCTCATTTCGTCCGCTGTGTTTATTCCAACAATTCCTCGAATTTTTAGTTCATACTCCAGCTCTTCTTTAAATAACCTATCGACATTCATTTTAATCCGATATATATTTTACTTAAAAAAAAATTAATATAAAAATTTCTAAAATTAAAAAAAATATATATTTTTTAAATACCCTTTTATACCCACTTTATTTACTCAAGTCCCTGTTCAGGGGCGCCATTTTGTTACGGTCTTTAATTTGGAAAAATCGTTTCCGCAACAAACTTGCCGGATGCTCAATGGAGACGGCAAGGTTCGCAAAAAAAAATAATAATCAAGGTTCAATTAATTATTAATAATTTTATAACGAGCGCCACGCTATTTAATTGGTTGAATTTGGAAAATAGCGAAAACCATAAAAAAATAAAATAAATAAATTTAATTTAAAAAAAAAGATTAGGATGCGGAGTGAGCTATGAACTTGGAACCTTTGGGTTTAAAACATATGTTAATTAACCTTCCTACTTAGTTAACTTATCGAACCTTCTTACTTGGCTACTTATGACTTTCTCTAATCCCTCGAATAGGGTTTTATAATTCCTTATTAAACCTTAAAAAAAAACCATGAAAACAAATAGAAAAAAATAAGAAAATAAAACTGGCTATTATTAATACTAATGATGGGTTTACTTATTTCTATTAATTTAAATAACTGTTAAAGGATATGAAAATTATGAACTAGAAATTAAATTTATAAGAAAACAAAGAAAATAAAATTAACTTTAATTATCAAAGAAAAGATTATAAAATTATTATAGGACTAAACAATAACTTACAACTATACAATATACCAATTACAAACATTTGGAAATAAAAATAGATAAAAAAAAAAAACTTATATGTACATATTTATAATATCCCACAGGTTGAACTCTGTCCAATTGACACTTTGGGTTGTCTGAAGAAGCGGCAACTTATTCGAACTAGCGTCTTCAATGTATCCACAATTTATCTCCCCAAGTTGTGAAAATGTTCATTCACCAACTTATAAGATCAAGCGGCACTCGTCACTGATAATCACAACTCCATGAATAGTAAAGAAAATCCGGTGTACACCGTAAAACTAAAACATTTTACACACAAAATCCTTAGCGTGAATCAACACCCTCGCGATGTTCTGCCATCTCTCAACTCGACTCTCTTTTTTTTTTTTTTCCCAATCAGCTGTTTTCTGTTACACTGACTTAAAAATAATATATATAATTAATACTTAAAACTAGACTTATTATAAACAATTGCTTATTATTAAAACTAATACTAAATAATTAATTAACCAATACTTAATTATATATTAAACCCTCTTCGAGTTAATAAAATAACATATTATTATTTATAAAACCTAAAAATTATTGTAAGAACTCATTTTTTTTTTTTTTTGTATTTTATTTTTCGTTACATGTTTTGAGGTCCCTTGAGTCCAAATAACCAAGTGTCGCAAAATGGTATCAGTGTGTGTGTCTGTGTGAATGTGTTAACAGTCTAGCTCATAAACGAAAATATTGAAAATGTTGCTATAGACTGTGGCGCCTAAACGAATGTACCGATTTCAATGAAACTTCGCTAAAGTCATTTTCTCGACACTCTTTAAATTTATCTATATAATATAATTCAACGGAAAGAAGCTGGAAAAAAAGTTACAAGGGATGGTAAAATCAAACTCCAAATAACTCAAAAAGTATACACTTTTTTGTGGATAAAGTTTATGGTTTTTTAAAAGTTTATGTAATTTACTAAAAAATAAAAAAAATGGGTTAAAATCGGACAATTAGTAGGAAAGATATGGTCTCTAGTTTTTTCCGCTGAAGAGGCGAACATTTTTATAAATTTAATACTATAATGTGAGTACTTAAGTAGTAAAAAAATTTTTTTCAACTGACATTTAATAAAGTATCTTACCTCAGAACATCTTTCATAAGAAATAAGTATCTAAATTTATATCTTTCTTCTCAGTTCTATATTTTAACACTACAATCACCAACTCCGGAATCAACTTACTCACTGTCTGCATAGATGACTTTTTCATCTAAAAATATTACTAAATTGACATTACTCAAAGATGTTGAAATTGGAGTTAGTCATTCTGTGGTTTATAAAAGCAAAGAAAGTTGTGTGGTTCATAAAAGCAGATGGAGTGACTAGATTTTTATTGCCTACCGTCGATATATTAAATAGACACTTTGTAATTATAATGATCTTAATGACTTGTTATCTGTAAGCTTTAAGTTTTAGCTCCGTTTAAAATGCACTTAAAATTTTATAATAGCCCAGCATTGCCAGAAATTAATTTCTATTCAAAGTAGAGCGGTAAGTGAAAGTTGTGTGTTGCACGCACCACATTTTGTTTATTACATTGCTGAATATATTTACTCCTAATTATACTTCTTCATTTCATTAATTTATAAAAACTGTGACAAATTAATATTTCTGAATAAAGTGTTTTAATAAGTATAGTAAGTCTAAAAAAAAAAAAAATTTATAAAATAAACACTACACCAATCTGTGCTCTTCAAATTTTTCAGGAATACTATTTCTTTCTTTTTTAACGGCGAAAATTAATATCCGCTGTTAAATATAATTTTATATATATAATATTATATATATATATATATATAATATATA